TAGTTTTTTGGTTTTTTTTTTTTTTTTTTTAAAGATTAGTATGTTTCCATTTCGTCCTTGTTATTCTGTCAAGGCTTTTCTGGTAACTCAGAGAAAAGCCCTGGGTATTTAGTAAGTTCTTCTGATTTGGTGGAACTTGAAGTTCAATCTTATTCTTTAGAAGTCGGCAGATATGGAAATCCGCTTTTTTTTTTTTTTCTTTCAGCTAGTGTTTTCCTTAGGTTTTCCTGCATGTATAATTAGGAATCTATCAACATCCTGAAGAGAACCAGTAGAAGATTTTCTACTTCTCTGATGTCTCCAAATTGAGATAATCTGAGATACTGCCACTCTATTTGTATTCTCTCTCACAATCTTAAATTCTGATTTCTGTCTCCTTAGTCCTTTAAGATTCTTGTTTCCTGCTTTGGCTCTATTGCCTCTTATGGCAGAAATTTTCTAACTACTAACCTCAGAAGATAAGCCAGCTAAATATGGAAATCTTGTGTTCTTTTCATCTTAAAATGATTGTAGTCCCTCCTGTCTCTAACTACTTTGGTTGTATTCCAGTGCCTTCAAACAGTTGTATTTTACATCTTGTTCAGCATTAATAATTGTAACAGCAGAAACGTTAGTCCAATACAAGTCACTCCTTCATGATTGGAATCAGAACTTCACTTCTAGAAAATAAATTGCTCAAAGGAAATAATTATGAATGTGACCGAGATTTGGCTACCTGGATAATCTATAATAGCAATTTTTCTACCAGTAAAAAATGAAACCATCTGTAGGTCCAAAAATGTGAAATTATTTAAATAAACTATAATTTATCTACTATAAAACAATCAGAACTATTCCCAAAATTAGTGGGATAACTGAGGTGATAAATTTCAAGTGTGACCAAGCAGTTTGTGTGTGTATCTTCTTCCAGTCACATTTACTCCACAGGTACAAGCATAAATAGGTTAAGAATTGGACTTCACTTGACCATACTTACTCCAAAATCCCAGCCAAAGCCTATTTCTGTCTAATTTAAGAGAAACAGAATGTGTTAAAGCCCATGGATGGCTCCCAGAACCTGGTGGGACAGAGGAGTAGGGATGGGGGATATACTGCTAGGAACAGCTTCAAAAATCACATGTAGAACTGCTTCCATGAAGACACTACTGCTGACATGTCTCAGCAGAGATACTAATGCTGGTCTCCCTGACATCATTGATATGTGACACTGGAAATAACTGCTAGCCACATCATCAGTGCTGCTTTAGAAAACTAGAAATGGCTTTAACCACTATGGCAAACCATTCCTAAGATATTCTAAATTGTTCTTAATAACTATGACTTGCTTTTATCAAACAGGTACTACCTTCCCAAACCAACTACTTTCAGATAGTTTGTGTTGTGGGACAGCCACCATCATGTCTGCGGGCCATCAATAGTTCTCCATAGGATTGCATGTGTAAATTATTTAGTTTTTGATTCTCTGAGCCAACTAAGACTGGTGCTGCAAGGATGCTCAGCACGCATCATTCCTCTCCTACATTTTGCCTTTCTGAAATGTGGTTTCTGCCAGATATAATTTGTCTGTGCATAATCCTGGGTTTAGCTCAATCTTCCTTTGTTCTTTAAGTTTTCAAGTTAAGCTGGGTCCAAACCATGAGTTGTCAGATTCCCCCAAGTCTAGCTTTCGGCTATTTAATTTGGTGAATGGGGCAGCTTTTTCTGAAGTCTTCAGCCATGTACATTACTTTTGGATAGTCTCCTATTTTTCTTTATGATAGTTACTACATTTAGCCCTTTCACATATTTTGCAACTTTTTCTTGTTTACTGCTATATATCCCAGTCAGTATTTGGAGCATATAAGTCACTTGATAACAATTTTAATAAGATTTTATATAACATTTTATATAATTACTGAATAAGTTAGATCTTTCTCTAGTTTCATTTGAGATATCATTTATATTTCCATCTCTTATTCTTCTTTTATTTTTACTTGGCTTCCTAGAAAAAAAGGATGATATTGCCCTCCTTATTATCTTTAAAACCACACAAACAGCCAATTAGTAAATATTATCAAGCTGAACTAGTAGATATGTAATAACAATGCTAAATGGCCATCTATAGGATAAGTCTAGGGGAAACCTCATTTATGCCCCTAATCAAAAATTAATATCATTGATGATTGAATAATTCATTTTCCTTTACTTGCACCCATATTAAGGAAGAAAATTAAATAACATTCAATATTCTGATTGTTGAATACTGTTGACTGATGAGATTGTGAGGATAGGAAGGTTAAGTCAAAATTTCTCTACTCTGTACAAACTGTGTTTTGGGGATATGCCTTTAATCTAACTATATAACAACAAATTGTCAGACTTAAACCATTATGGAGTAATCTGGAAATCCTGCCTCTAGTTTTGCAAAGTCTGATGGGAACTAGAAAGAAGCGAATGAACAAAAATAATCAAAACACACATATGTGGAATTTAGAAAGATGGTAACGATAACCCTATATGCAAAACAGAAAAAGAGACACAGATGTATAGAACAGACTTTTGGACTCTGTGGGAGAAGGCGAGGGTGGGATGTTTCAAGAGAACAGCATCAAAACATTATATTATCTAGGGTGAAACAGATCACCAGCCCAGGTTGGATGCATGAGACAAGTGCTCGGACCTGGTGCACTGGGAAGAGCCAAAGGGATCGGGTCGAGAGGGAGGTGGGAGGGGGGATTGGGATGGGGAATACATGTAAATCCATGGCTAATTCATGTCAATGTATGACAAAAACCACTACAATATTGTAAAGTAATTAGCCTCCAACTAATAAAAATAAATGAAAAAAAAATTTAAAAAACCTACAGTTGTTCATAAGACTTGTACAGAATTTAGATGAAATCACTATTGTTGCTCAGTCACTAAGTCATGTCAACTCTTTGGAACCCCACAGACTGCAGCATGCCAGGCTTCCCTCTCCTTCACTATCTTCAAGAGTTTGCTCAAACACTACTGCTGACATCTCTCAGCAGAGACTCTATTGCTGGTCTCTGATATCACTGATATTTGACACTGGAAATAACTGCTAGCCCCATCATCAGTGATGCTTTGGAAAACTAGAAACAGCTTTAATCACTGAGTAGATGTCCACTGAATCAACAATGCCATCCAACCATCTCATCCTCTGTCACCCCCTTCTCCTCCTGCCCTCAATCTTCCCCAGCATCAGGGTCTTTTCCAAGGAATCAGCTCTTCACATCGGGTAGCTGAAGTATTGGAGCTCCAGCTTCAGCATCAGTCCTTCCAATGAATATTCAGGGTTGATTTCCTTTAGGATTGACTGGTTTGATATCCTTGCTGTCCAAGGAACTCTCAAGAGTCTTCTCCAGCACCAGTTTGAAAATATCAATTATGGTTATGGAATATTCTGTGTTATGGGTGGTTATGGAACAACCTGTCCATAACCAATTATGCTTATGGAACAATCTGTCCATTGAAAAAGGATATCTGTTAGAAAACTTAAAAGATTATAGCTTAGTCATTAAACTCAAAAACAAATTGATATTTTTGAGCCAGTATCATTTTTGCCTTTGGCAAGAGGTAACAAAGAACATGTCTCTCAAATTTCTGCTTGTTCTAAGTAGCTCTACTTTTGTCAATATTTAGAATTGTTATACTTCAAATTTAGTCTTTCTGGTGAGTTTGCAGCAATATTTCATTATGGTTTTAACTTTCAATTGCTTGATTACTGAAGAAATTGAGCTCCCTTTTATCTGTTTATTTTACTATCTTCTCTCCTAAAGTATTTGCTCAAGACTTGCAGACTTGCATATTGGTTATCTTTCTCACATTCCTGTGTGATTCCCAAATACATGATCTTTGAAAGCTATATATTTTTCAATATTTTTTCCTGCTCTTGAGTTAACTGTTTTGCTTTCTAAATAGTACCTTTACTAAGCTGAAACCTTTACTTTTGATGAACAATTGAAAATATTTTCTTTTGTTATTCTTTTTATATCTGTAAAAACACATACTATTATTTTTCTTTGCACTGTACACAATACTTTGAATGCTGCTGTACTTTGGTCACCAGATGTGTGTGTATGGGTGGGGATAGGGGTTCTCATACCAGACAATTCTGTGGCACCAGGTTTAAGGACCTACCTGCCAGGGACTAGAGGAAGACCAAATATATATTTCTTATTATGAATCACAATATCATAGTATCTTGTTTAAGAAATTTTCTCTTCAAGGCCTTTAAATTAATATCTTAGGTCTTTTTTCTAGAAGCATTATTATTGTGCCTTTCATATTCAGAAATCTAAATATACCTAAAATAAATTTTTGTGAATGCTTTAAGTGCTAATTTTTAAAAACAGAGATATCTAAAGGCTTCAGCAACGTTTAATGAAAAGAGACAGGGAATGTTAGCTTTGTAACAAATCAAGTGCCTGAAAATGTGTGGCTGTGTTTCCAGATTTTTTTTTCTTCTTGCTTTGGTCAACTGTAATTGTGGGCCCAATATTACACAGTGTTAAGTTTTAGAAATCTTGTTAAAAACAAGACAATAGGCCCAAAATGGAGTTGCTTATGCTAAGCACCATGTCACCAAAGTAGATTTAACTTAATTATTTAAAGTTTCGGTTCTCTCAGAAATGGAACCTTAAACCAGTCAGAATCTCCTGATCAGCACTAGCGGGGTCATCTGCCTGACAGACCGTTGTCAATCGCTGAAGGAAAGTAACTTCTCATTAACTCACCGCTTCTCAGCCTAGTTTATTTTTTTTCTTTCCTGCTCCCTTCTGTCTATAAAAGTCTTTCATTTTGAATAGCTCCCCGGAGCTCCTTTCTAACTGCTCGACTAGATGATGCCCGATTGGAATCGATCTTTGTTCAAATAAACTCTTAAAAATCGTAGTATGTCTCAGTTTAGCTTTTAACAGTTCTGTTATAACAGTAAGAAGCTGGTAAGGAAGGAGAACTTGACATTTCTATGAGTGACCAGCAACCAGACTTGGTACCTGCTGAGCCCTGAACTTAGGGCCTCTGTCGCCTTAGGAACTGGTGGGTCAGTCAGTCAGAGTCTCCGCGCCTGTTGTCTGAAGAGCTTTTAGGCTTTATTTAAGAATTTCTTTCCTCACTGGTTCTGGAAACGACGGGGAGTTAGCCGTGGTCCAACGTAGTCACCCAAAAGGGTCTGAGGTTTTATGGGGTCCTACTTAGAAAGCCGACCGGGTGGAGGCTTGGACCACGCACGGGTAGAAACCAGATTGGTTCCCGGTCAAACTGGTTTCGACTTAAGCCAGTCTAGGCCCAGCAAGAGGTGAATACAGTTTTGTTTTAAGGCCGAACAAGCATGTTAACTTTACCAAAGATAATCCTGAATGACAGCGGCCACAACGGAGATCTTTTCACGTAGGTTAGTTTATCCTTATTCAGGGGACGCCTCAGAGAAGAGGGGTCTCACCTAAGCGCTCACTGTAAAGCGTAGAGGAAAAAAATTTTTCCTCCTCTTCAGTTTCTCAGGACCAGAATGAGACCCGTTGGCACACCCCACTGGCTCCAGAACCAGCAGAGTCCTGGGGAGACGGACAGACGCCAGCAAACGGTAAGAATTCTTACCAAAGTCAGCCCTCCTTGGTCCCTATCTGTGATGCCTGGTTGAGAGAAGAAGTAGAAACGTCACGTTGTTCTTTCCTTTCAGGCTGGCAGGCAAAAAGCCTGTGTAAGAATTAAATTTTTGACTCAGGACTCCTGAATTCGCTTTCGGATACATACTGGTTGTGGAACCCTTTCTCACCACCTATCACTAACTGTTTAGTTCTTCTAAACCTTCACATAGATTGTTTTGTTCATTCCCCTACCCTCCCCCCCCAGGTTTTCTAGTGTTTCCTCAACAGGAGAATTGTTTTGAATTATTCAGTAATTACTAGAAACAGACATTTATCTCAAGTGCTTAAAAGTTATTTTCCCCAACAAACCAAGTTTCTCCCTGAAAATAATGTTGTTATGAGTGCGGGTGTTAACAAATACTTCCCCCTCATTAATTAGAAAGCCCCTGATTAAGGGACACCAATTTCTGAGTCCATCTCCTGCTAGCTTCTTTCTTAAGATTATGCGAGAGATTTTGAACTCTTTTGTAGAAATTTTATGATGCCTAAAGCAGGGAAAATGTACAAAATTTGGGATATGTAGGTGGCCTTTCAGAGAAGGCAGCAGAATGTAGGTCCTCTAAAAGGTTTGAGGTGATGGCATAGATCATGCAATTCATCAGAAGAGGTTGGGGTATCAGAACAAGAATCAGGAAGAACTGTAACAATTTATGTACTAAGATATAATATCTTATGCCTTCTCAAGGGCAGAAGAGACTGCCTTTGGTGTGCACCTGGCATGTTTTCTGGGGAGGATGGGCAGTGATAGTGAACTGTTGAGATGTGTAATCAAATTCTGCTTGTGTTTGAGAACTGGGTGGTAAAGCTAATGGCTTTTCTGATTAGTTAGGAAACTTCAGCAGGAATAGTGCAGAAGTGATAGTGCAGAGTCCTAACCCCCGGACCTCCAGGGAATTCCTCAGGAAACTTACGTTTAAATACAGCAATAAATAAAATAATCTTCCCAAAGCGGTTTGTGTTTCAATGCTGCTGATTCCCTCAGCAGTTGGGGTTAGCTTAAGAGAATGGATCATAGTGGGTGGGAGGGCTCAGCAACTGGAGTAACAAAGAATGTTAGTGACTCCCGTGGTCCTCTAAATGTTCATAAGTAGCTGGTGGGAATGGAAGGGATTAGGGTGAGGAGGGCTCAGTCATAGGTATTGATTTTGTTGCCATAAAATGGATACCCACATCTGCTCTATTATTCTTTGCCGAGCTAGTGGGCTAGGACAAACCTCTTAACAATAATGCAAACGGATAAGTACTATAAAAGAAGTTAAATGATAAGCTCCAATAAGAGAAGGAGGGTTGTGTGGGACTTTGCTCACAAAAGAACTACATCATGCCCAGTGTAGTAGGTACGAAGGAAAGAAGAAAGGAAGGACGGAGCAAAGGAAGATTTGTGTCTTCAGGGGTTCCATTAATTTTAAGGCATCTGGTATAACATGTAGTACTGGGAAAGGAGAAAAGAAAAGAGAGTCCGTGGATTTTAGGTCTTCATTCTTGCTAAAATATTCAGTCCAATTAAATGCATTTGCCTATTACTAATAAAAGAGATTTTTGTTGTTGTTTTCATTCATTTCAAAAGCAGCTATCCTGTTACTTCAGGGTGACTCTGTGGTAGTTTTAAGGTCAAAGCAGTAAGTTGCTAATTTGCATTCTTTTTCATTGTATCATAAAAGCAGTATTTCAAAATATAATCTTCGCCTCCATACTTTGAAGCATAAAATGCTCAGCCAGCTAATGAGTGTTTTACAAATTGTTTGAGCAGACTTGAATGTCCGCTTTTACCTCCCCTTTCCTGCTTCATCCCCATATCCTCTTACTCTGCCCACACATATACCTTTCTTCCTGTGTCCCATCATTATGCTTTCTGGAAATTATATGGCTTTCTATCTGGGTGAGAATGCAAAACAGACTCCAGACATTCCAGAAGATTTTATAAAGTCTGCCATCTGCACATCTGGTATGTAAGATGCCTGTAGTGTTCTTTAATCAGCAACACAGATATCTGTGCTCTGGGCACTCTTCAGAGTCACACCACAAATTGTCTGCAAATCACCAGGTCTTGTCAAAATTTACTTGAGCATGGGATGATATAAAGAGACAAGATAACCAGCTACTCTTAAATATTCTCCAAGCTCTGACCTATGTTAAGAACTAAAATCAGCACACAATATTGCTGAATAATGTCATTCATTTTCCTGAAGTTAAAATTGGAGTATGAGTAATATAAAAAAAATTATCTTAACAAAGATTCTTTGTTATTGTCAGTAGCTTCCCCATATATATATGTGTTGTTTAGGTTTATAGCAATTGAAGGTAAGGTAGAGAGATTCTCTATATTCCTCCTCCCCTCACACATATCCTCCTCTATTTTCAACATCCCACAGTGAGTGTTACATTTGTAATCATATGTAACTTTTTCAAGCTGACTTCTTGCCCTTAGGCATTTAAGGTTCCTCCATGTCCTTTTATGACTTGGTCATTTTTTTTTTTTAAGAGCTGAATGATATTCCATTGTCTGGATATACCAGTTGGTTTATTTATTTGGCTAGTGAAAAACAGTAGCTTCCAAGTTTTGGCAATTAATAATAAATCTGCTATAAATATCCACATGCAGGTTTTTGTATGAACATAAGTTTTCAACTCCTTTGGGTAAATATCAAGAAACTCTGTTAATTGGATCATATAGTAAGTGTATATTTAGTTTTATAAGAAAACACCAAACTGTCTTCCAAAATGGCTGTATGATTTTGCATTCTCACCAGCGAAGAATGAGAGCTCTTGTTGCCTTAAATCCTCATCAGCATTTGGTGCTATCAGTGTTCTGGGTTTAACCATTCTAATAGGTACATAGTGGTATCTCATTGTTTTTATTTGAATTTCCTTGATGACATATTGTAGGAAGAAATGGCAACCCATTCCAATATTCTTGCTTAGGAAATCCTATGGATAGAGGAACCTGGTGGGCTACAGTCCATGGAGTCGCAAAGAGTCGGATGTGACTGAGCGACTTTCACTTCACTTTAGTATACACATAACTTCAATATACCCATATGATGACATACAGTTTGGAGCATCTTTATGTGTATTTTCTGTCTGTATATCTTGGTGAGGTGTTTGTTAAGATCTTTAGCCCCTTTTTCAATCAGGTTGTTTTTTGTTATAGTTGAGTTCTAAGAGTTCTTTATATATTTTGGATCATAGTCTTGTATCAATTGTATCTTTTGTAAATATTTTCTCTCAGTCTGTGACTTGTTTTCTCATTCTCTTGACAATATCTTTAGCAGAATAGAAGTTTTTAATTTTAATGAAATCCAGCTTATTAATTATTTCTTTCTGGGATCATGACTTTGGTGTTATATCTAAAAAGTCATCACTATACACGTGGTCATCTAGGTTTTCTCCTATGTTATCTTCTAGGAGTTTTATAGTTTTTCATTTTACATTTAGGTCTGCAGTTCATGAATTCATAAATTTGGTGAAGAGAATAAGGTCCGTGTCTAGATTTATTTTTTTGCTTGTGGATGTCTAGTTTTTTTTTTGGATGTCTAGTTTTAACAAAGATTTTTAAAAATCTTTTGGGAAACTGTTTTCACTTGTCCAGTTATCATGTGGGAAACTTTATATTATGATCTATGAGATACATTTATCCTAGAAATCTGAGTAAAATATATAATTATTCCAAATAACTTTATGTGCTTTATTTAATGGACAGTTAAATTATTTAACCATATTTTTCCTTTTAGTTGTCAAGAAATTTAAGAGAATAATTTTGTATCATATTTCTATTTAGTACAACTTTGGTAATACATGATGAACAATGAAAAAGAGAAGAAACTATACTGCGTGTTTCAGAGGAGACACAGTGGCCCAATCTGTGTGTTAGCCACTGTTGGGGAAAAGAGAGGCTAAGACAGGTGAACAAATAGGGTTGAGTAGGAAAATATTGCTAGTGGTTCTTAAAGACTGACTTAGAGGAGGGGAAGAAAGAAAATAAAATATCTAGACCTGAGACTTTGCAGTGTGTATGAAGAAGGTTAGCATTTTACCTTAGCTTCTATTGAAGGTTTGGAGAAGAGGAAAAAGTAGTTCAGATAGAAAAAAAAAAAAGGTAAATGAGTTATATAGGAATTATTGAGTGGTCTTATTTGGTTGGAGCAAAAAATGCTTGATATTATAAAATGTGAACTAAACATGGATAAGTGGGTTTTTCTTAGTGTATGGTTATGAAAGCTATGGTGAAGAATTTCAGTTATTAATTCATATCATTCATTTTCTTATCTTTCTGATGAAATGTATTCCATATGTTAATTTAGAAAATCTCTAGTAGTGTTTCCTGATTTTAAATTTAAATTTTAAATGATTTAAATTGCCTCTCGTTTTGATGATAGCAAAGTATAAACAACACAATGTATAAATGTTGGTAAGAAAAGACTCCAATAACATTCTTTTTAAAAATATTATTTAAAACGACTATCTGATGTAGAATAGAAAGGGAACAAAATGACAACTAAATTTGTCTAGAGGCTATATGAGGGGTTTCCATATTTTATTTATTCATCATGAAAATCTGTTTTTCTGGCATTTTTATCTCAGTCTTATAAGAGATGTTCTAGAGCCTAGATAAATTAAATAAGTTTCCCAGAGACCCACAGCTCATAGGTGCTCAAATTCACATGGAAAGGCTGAACATGAACAATCATTTTCTTCCCCAGTTAATGTGCCTTAACCAACATAACCTAGTGTTTAACATGCCTAATTTTCACAGTTAAGTTGATTGTTCTGACACAAAGTTGATGCACTTTCATATACATGTAATGTAATTAATACACATTCAGATTTTAAATAAATACATAAAACAAACTAGGAGAGAAAAATCTA